GCCCGCCCGGTGGCGCCGGAGCCGGCGGCGTCGCCGCGGGAGGAGGGCCCGCCCGCTGCGCCCTCGCCCCGGCGGGGGCCCGAGCAGCGCACACTCGGGCACTGCGTACGGCGGCCCTCGTCGTTGTCGTCGACGTCGACGTCGGCGTCGTAGTTCTCGTCGTCGTCGTCGTCGTAGTCCTCGCCCTCGTCCTCGTCCTCGTCCTCGTCCTCGTCCTCGTCGTCGTCGTCGGCCTCCGCAGGTCCCTCTTGAGGCCCACGGCGGCCCTCGGCGGCCTGGGCAGCGGCGTCGTCGCGGCCCTCGGCGGTCTGGGCAGCGGCGTCGTCGTGGTCGCCGCCGCCGCCGTCGCCGCCGGCCCATTCTGGCGGCCCGGCACGGGCCGCCGAGGTCAGCTGCGCGGCCGCTCGGGGGCGGCAAAGAGGGGGGTGATGATTAGGGGGGGGTGGATATCATGGCGTGGGCCATGACATCTCCCCAGATTTCATGGCGCCTCTTCTCGTTCCAGTACGTCCCTGGCCCCCCCCCGCTGGGCCGCGCACATGCCGCAGGCCATGATTTGCACCCCCGCTCTTGGACGCCCCCCTCTTTGCCGTCCCCGAAATTGAGCGACGCAGAAAAATTCGGAGGATGAAAAAACTCGGTGACCCCATGCGAACCCTACCCCCACCCCCCACGAGTTCTAAAGGGGGGGGTCACTTCCTCTGGGAGCTCCCGAGCGGAGTGAACCCCCCCCCTCAGAAATCGTGGGGGGGGGGGGGTAGGGTTCACATGTGGCCACCTACGATGCCACTATTCGAAGAAGAAACCTACATAAACATGAAATGTGGCGCTCCGAGCGGATATCTTAGATCTGCACTGGGGGCCCCTGGCGGCGCCTCCAGCGCCGCCCCTGGCGCTGTCAGCTTAGATCCAAAAATTCCGCGCGGTTCTCCAAAAGTGTATGTTTATGTTTCTTGTTCTTCCTCCACTTACCCATCCCTCGTTTTCCCCTTTTCGGGTCTCCTCAGAGGTCCTCGTCGCCACCGCTGGATTCGCCTCAAAATTGTGGTCGGAACTTGCCCGGGGAGAGGTGCGGGGAGTAGCGGTATGGGTGCCTTTGGTTCCCCCCAAAACAGGGGTCGTTTTCGCGGACAGTCGCGCGCAAGTCTCCTGCGCCAGGCCGCGCGTAAGCGCCTTCGTTGCTTTTGTGGCGTGCTGTGCTGGACGCCCGGGTGAGCCACCGCATAAGGTCGCTACAGTTGAAGCCCATGCCAAGGAACACCTTGCTTGCCTCCAGGGTGCCCTGGGTTTCTGGGGTTTCGATGGTTTTGCTGCTATGGAAAGCGTGACGCGCCCACACCATAATTCAATGGACGTCCTGGGGTCTCAGGGTTGTTTCTTTGTTGTGGAAGGTCTCTTGTGGTCAAGCCCCTACTGTACGACCCCGTTTTTTTGTCGCCCACGTCGGGGGGGGGAGGGGGCGGAAAGGTGCACCTCTCGTGCCCTAGAGGGGCCCTAGAGTTGCTACAATGGGCTCCCCCCGAGGAACCCAAAGTATCCCAATTGCAATCCAAAAGTACCGCGCCGAAATACGAATACGAGAAATGTGCCGTGCAGAAATACAAAGTACAGAAGTTCAGACATCCGAAGTGTGAACAAAAATGACAACAGTATCTCGAGATATGTTTGCCGTACTGTGTTCATGCTTCGTACTTTTATTATGTTGCTCACGATTACCATAAGTTGTTCACACTTGTTTTGTATTGTTGATGTGCGAATGTACGTGTTTCGTACCCGTACTTCCGCGTTGCACATATTGCACGCCTGCGTTTCGTTGACCTCGCCTGGCTCATTCTTTCGATCCGTACCTATTTTACACTCGTGTTATTGTGTCATACGCGTGCTTGTACTTGTTTTTCATGTTGCCAAAATCGAGGATCTTCCGGTCTAGCCCGGCCTCGAGTCTCATGACCCTAGAGGGGCCCCCCTTGCCTACCTGAACTCCAAGCGGTGCGCCCAGCGGGGCATTTGCAGAAAGCGAGCATCCGTGTGGGCAGAGCGACTGGGGCTCTGGAAGAAGCACGTGGGCACCGGGTGCGAACTAAGGTGGGGCACGCGGTGGAAATCGTTCGAACTGAGGAAGAGGAGGTTGCGGCAGCCCGATTTGTCCCACCAACAGAACGAGAATATTGACACACTCCAGTCACCGACGTTGGCCAGGCAATCGAGGGGGAGTTAAGCTGCAGTTATCTTTCGGCAAGCAGCTCGATGGACTTACTCTGCAGGATCACGACAACGCCATTGTTGAGGAACGATCGTCCACAGTCAACGAGCTGCCGCAGAAGGCGGTATGTGAAGCCATGGGAGGCCTCAAAACGGCCCAACTTGAGGCAGTCCAGACAGAAATGTCAGAACTGGCAGGCAGGAGTGCGAAGGAACGACAGACGAATGATGGTGATGGTGTGGTGGTGCCTCCTGCTGGCCAGAGACCAGCTGCTGAGAGTGGAGCCGCTGCTGCCGCCACTCCCCCACCAGAGAGCGCCGCCTCCGCGGGGGGTCGAGCGCCCACCGCCGCGACCAGGGATGGGGGGGCCGCCGGGGCAAGCCATTGCGGTTTGAAGGTCGAACTCAAGCCCAACATGGTGGAAACTCTGCGCAGAGTTTTGCAGCTGCCCAAACCCTTCGCTCAGCCCCCGTCGATCCAGAAGCCCAGGGGCCCAAGCAGCAAGTGGCCCAGGAAAGCGGCCGGAAGGCTCAACCGCCAGACATCGCAAGCCCGCCAATGCTGAGCGACCATGGTCTAGGATGTCTTCCAAGGGGCCCCCAGCTTTGGAGCACCTCTGCCCTGGGGATCTGCATCGAGAAAGGAGCGGCTCGGGTTTCGACCTTGAGGGTGGTCTGGAGGCGGGCGTTGAGGCAGATCCTCTGGGGGGCCAGCCTATGTGCGGGGGCAGCGTTGTGAAGCATCCCCTCCGCGGACTTACTCCAGATCAGCTAGGTGAGTTGTGGCGCGGCAGATCTGCGGCGAAACCTGCCAGCGGAGACGCGCAGCCCCCAGACTACATCGCGGAGTCCAGCGCGTTTCAAGTTGGCGAGCGCGCGGCCATAGCGGCGTCGAGTTTGAGCGTTGGGTGCCCAGGGCGGGGGAGTTGTTCACCCTTGTCCACGCTGCCCCCCCCCCCCGTCGCGCCCCCCGCCCCCCGCAGTGGCGCGGAGATTTTCGCGGCAGAGGTTTGGCCGGGAAGTTCGCGCGGGCCGGGCGCCCAGGGCGCGATTTTTGTCTCAGCGCCAGGTCCAGTGGCTCATCATTGGGCGACGTTTGCTCTCCTCCTGGATGAGCTAAGCACTTGTTCGCCTAATGGGGGGGACATATTCGAATCCCTGATGGCCAAGGTCAAGGAACTAGCCAGTCACCTGTAGGCGTCTTCCCCCGCGCCTCTCTCGACGCGCCATTGGGTGGTCTCGATCGGGCCGCGGGCTCGGATATATATAGTTTTGCAGAGATGGCGCGGCGCAACTCGATGCGCGCACAGAGAGGGTTTGAAGGAGGCCCGCGCAGATTGATCAAGAAGAACGTTCTTGTAGGGGGCGCCAGGTCACGGGCGCCGCTGCTCCAGGCGCCCTACGCCGCGCGCAGCTCAAAGAGGGGGCCCGGGGCGAGAAGTGGGGGGCCGCGCGCGCCTGCGACCCGAGAGCGGTGTAGTTGTGGCGAGAGGCGCAGCGTCGAGCCATCCAGGGCCCTCTTCCCAAGGTGGACCCCCCCCACACTCAAACAAGAAATCGCACGCGCGCCTTACGGGGCCACTTGCGTTGACCAGACATGCGAACCAGGCGTGATGTTATTGCCGCCAACGCGGCTTAGTGAGCCCACGGCCTTTGTAATTCCACAGAGGCCAGATCTAGCTGGCCCCGGCAGCTCGCGTCGGTTTTCGTTATGTTGCAGGTCAAGGACATTGAAGCGGGCAGGGCCATAGGGCCCCCCCCCCGTGGCCCCCGAGGCTATGGGGCAGATTTAGGCAGTGCGAGCGCGCGCCATGGCGTAGGGAAAAAGGCATGCCATTGGGACACAACCATAGCAGGTTCGTCCGCATTGAGAGTTGCATTGCGGCGAGCGTTTCAGGATGAGCTTGCCGACCAGTCACCGGCGCCGGATTTCATTCGCGCCAGTCCCCTCTGGGATTGGGCTTCTACGTTTCGCTCTAGACAGAGCCAGGGCGCTTGGCTTTCCTGCGATTTATTTAGCGCTGGAATTGCACATGCACGTGTCAGCCAGGTTCCTTCGCGAGGAAGGTTGTTTTTGCAATGTGGCGCAGCCGAGTCTCTCGCTCGTCCCGGGATCGACGGGCGCGGTTAACTTGGGGAGATGTGCGATCTAATGTGTGTGCCGCGATTTGGCCAGAAGCCCACCTCCTTCTCCTTCCCTAGCCACCAGGGTGGATGGCATAGTCCAGAGGTGCGAGGGACCTGGGCAGAGGTTAACCAGCATGCTTTTCAAAGTGGGCAACCAGTTGTACCAAGGCTTAGACAATGTTGAGCTGAAGATGGCCGGCAAGTCCTGCAGCATATCATCCTGCCCGCAGGCCGCCCGGCAGGCAGGCAACATGGTTGCAGATGCAGGCGTCAGACGTCCAGGTCAAATCGCGCGCACCAGACTTGGGAATGGATAGGGTTAGAGCGGCCTCAAGCAGGCCCAAGCAAGCAGCCAGGCGCGCGGCAGCATTTTTAAACGTCAGCAGGCTATCCAGGTGTGTAAATTGCGTTCGGAAGCACAGGGGCTGTCCAACATAATCGATTCGGTCCAGGCCTTCCGCGCAGTCTCGCTACTCGGACCATGTGCGCGGCGCAGCTCCCGGTGCGCTTATCACGTGGAGACGAGCTTTTTCCGACCTTTGCAGTGGGAAGAAGGACGGCCGATGCTCAAACATTTTGCTTGCTCTAGAGCGTGGCCAGTAGGGCCAGGCTTTCACGGCATCTCTTGACGCAGTCAAGATGTGGTTCGGATATCCTCGGGGGCCCCAAGGGCAGCCAGAGCGGGCGCAACGTCGCTGGGGGAACGTTTCGAACGGGCTCAGGAAGGCCAACCCCAAAGCCTGATGCAGGAGGGCCAGTCTCCCCATGGCGGCAACGCTACGCGCGATGCCTGATTTAAAGTGGGGCCCTCAGGGGCCGCGGCGACGGCGCAGTGACATCGGCGAAACCATTGGGGCCTCAGCGCCCCTTCTAGGCCGAGGCCCCATGGGCGCCAAGCTGTTTTTCGTTCTTGCGTCGCTGACAGTGCAAGTAGGAAGCTCTGGACTGGGGCGGCTCGCAATTCCTGGTTGGGAGAAGGCTTGCAAGCAGCGCCAGACACGGCAGGCCCCCGTAGACAGTGCAAGACCGCAGTCAGTAGGTCAGCAGGGGGGAGTTTCAATGGAAAGGAAGCTGCAGTGCGTTATGATAGGTGCCGCGTGGCGCAGGCAGCGGCTTTTTGAATACGCGGTGACGCGTGACCCAACTTGCCAGCGCTGCGGGTCGGCTCTTGAGACGGACAAGCGTAGATGCTGGGTGTGCCCAGCTAGCGCGGCGTTTCAAACATATTCGAGTAGTTTATTTAATTAAACCATAACATAAGCAGACGCGTTGCCATGCCTGTGGATCAGAGGTCTAGTTCCCTCCGCGTGGACGGATGTCCCAGTGCCCCCAGAGGAAGCCATCAGTTCTGTTTTCGGCCAGTCGGACCGCCAGATTCTTGGTGCACAAGTGGTCATTTTTGGAGGAGGAGACGCCGGTGGAGGTGCGTATCATGCTCCACGGCTAACGAGGGCGGGGTGTGTGTTTGTAAACTTAGGCGGTTTCCGAGGCGACGGGGGCTACGACGTTGGGGGGTTGCGCGTGGTGCACTTGCAAGGAGGGGACCTGCCGGACATGTTTCAGTCTGTCAACCGCGGTGAAGCCACGGCTTTGGTAGAGTTTGCGGCAACTGTCCTTCCGCTTACGAATGCGGTCTCTGTCGCAGATTCAGCTTATCTCGCGCGAGAAGCCGACGAGGTGCGTCCAGGAAAGCCCCAAGAGACCGATGCCGACGTTTGGAAGCGCTTTCAGGCCGTTCTTTCCGAGAACCCAGCCCGTGGAAACCGAGTGATCCAAAACGAGAGCAGCAGCGCATTGTTCCCTCGCAAGCGCGGCGGCAGGCGAGACAGCTGAGGTCTTGGCCCAGGAGCTGCGCGCTTCACATGCATGCAGATGTAGGGCCGAGATGTCCACGGCGATCGGGTTTGCGATCAGGAGGTATCTAGCCAGAGTTCTCAGTCACGCGACGGAAGCGGTTCCAAAGCATGCGCCCAGCAGGAGCAACGCTGCCAGTGTCAAGCAGAAGGAAGAGAGGAGCTGCAGTTTGACAGCTCGCCATGGGGTGCGTGCTTTTTTCCAGGGTTAGACGCGCGGAGCGTGGAGGGTCGGCGCCGCGGAGGGAGTTAGAGAGATTCCTCGGCACTCCGTGCACTAGAGGCCTGATGAGAGATGTCGTTTTGGCACCGTCAGGGCCCCACGTTTTGAATAGCAGTGTGCTGCGCGCTACGCATGGGATAGGAGTTCACCAGAGATTGGGCATTCTAATACGTTTCAAATTTAAGTTTCGCACACAGGTGCGGGGGATCATTTTGATCGTTCAGAGGGTGAGCCTACAGCGCATGGCAAGCGAGCCCTCGAACGGTTGCAGCAGGGCAAAGCGTATGCAGTGGAGTCCAAAGAGACAGAAGGTTCTTGCCAGCTGCAAGCTAATATGTGGGCCGAGGGAACTCACAAAAGAACAACTCTTGGGGTCGCCTCCTAGGGGGGGGCCTCTCGGGGGCCTCTTGCGGGCCTCCTTGGCCGCTTCAGGGGGGGGCTCTTGGCCCGTCTGGCGACTTCGGAGGCCGCCTTGGGGGCCTCTCTCGGCCGTCTTGGCACCCATTTGGGGCGCTTCGGAGCCGTCTTGAAGCCCTCCTAGGAGCCACTTGGGCCATCTTGGGGCCCTCTTGGGCCGATTCGGGGCCCTCTTGGGGGCCTGGTGCGGTGTCCTGTAGCTAGCTTGGAGGCCCCTTGGGCCGTCGTGGGCGGTCGAGAACCCGAACGGGCGAGAGCCCCCAGATCTTCCAAACACTATAGGAAACTCAATGGCGCGGGCTCTCTCGGGCTCTCCCGGGGGGCCTCTCGGAGCACTCTCGGGCCATATTTGGGGCCCTTTGGGCCGTCTTGAAAGCTCATTGAGCTGTCTCGCGCAATTTTGAACCGTTTTCATGGCTGTCTTGGAAGCCCCTTGGAGTGCACCTTGGCCGCCCGGCGGCTGGAAGGAGCGCCCAGGAACAATTTGAGGGGCCCGATTTCAGGGGCGCGCGCGCTATGCAAGGGGGGGGGGCCTAGAAGACATATAGAGACCTCCCAGACAACCGACGAGCATTCCAACGCGCCCGCTCCGCGCGGGCACGGCGGTGGATAACGGCGAACCCGGTCATGCAGAACACGCGCGGGGCCCGCCCTTGCAGGAGGCCCCCATTCCCCGTGGAGTGGATAAAACCGTGTGTGTGCGTGGCTGATGTCTTTCACGCTATCGCAATGTACGATCTCGTAGAAGTGTTCGTCGCACATTGACACCTGGTGAAAGAATATGCATGCAACCAAATCGACCATCGACATGGAGACGGCAATTGCGGTGGCGCCTGGCGCCGTGATAACATATCTGAACGGAGCGGTTCTTGCACATGCGATTGCTCATAATAAACACCAGTTGTCTCAATCTGGACGCACGCTTATGCGAGCGTTCTGCGCTCGGCGGCAGTTCAGTTTCGACTGCGCGTGGGTTGCATCGGTGCGAAGCTGCGGTTGAATTCCATGTCGCGGGCAAGTCGGTTCTGGCAGGAAGAACGCAAGGCCTAATGCCCCCGCGCGCGCGTGCCCTGGAACAAAAAAACGCCGCAGATCTGATTCATTCGCCGTGGCATTTTTCGCACGCGGTCCGAATATAGCGCCGCGCTTGGGGAAACGCGCCCCTGACAGCGGCGACTTTTGCTGAAGCGTGAAAGTTCCTGGCGAGGTAGCACCGCGCATGCGTGGATGCACGAGACATGCATGCATCGGTTGCCCAAGGCTCTGTTTAGTAGTGTCACCCTTCAGGGCGCAAGCACAGTTGTGCGTTGTTTTTGTGCGGCAGCGCATTGCAGCGGGATGCTTGCAACAGATGGCCGCAATGTCACCATGTTCCATGCTCGTTCACGACGTCGCTCGGCACGCGGGCCTCGCAATCTGTTCATGGACGAGTTCGCGCATTCCTGCTTCGACTCGCCACCGCCCCTTGATTTTTGTTGCGCTGCGAGGTGCCAGATGCAGAGATTCTGCGGAACTTCAGCAGACGCTTCGAAGGCGCCCCCAGGAGGCTTCAAAACTGCTTCCACGAGGGGCCCCCGAGAGACCTCTCAGGACGCCCAAACAAGCATCCATTAAGCTTTTTCGACCCACGGCCATCTTGGGGCTGTCGTGAGCGCTTCTTGGGCCATCTTGGGGCCCTTTTGGGCCGTCTCGGGGCCTTCTTGGAGGCGTCTTGGGCTGTTTCGGGGCGGTCTTGGGAGCTTCTTGAGCCGTTTCCGAGCGTCGGAAAGCCGAAAATGCGAGAAGGCCAACATCCTTCAAGCACCTTCGTAACATCTACGAGTTTGGCCTGTTGGGGTTTCCTCGGGAGCGTTCGTGGAGCCTCTTTGGGCCGTCTTCGAGCCATCATCTGGAGCCTTGGAGCATTCTTGGCTTCGGCAAAGGTTTCTGGTTTCTGGTCACCGGCGAAGGTTTCTGGTTTCTTCGAGCCATCACGGCGTCACTTGCGAAGGTTTTTGGTTTCGGGGACGCGAGTATTGCGTATTTTACATTGGTTTGTTGCTTCGGGGACGGAATAATTGTATAGTGTGCAGGGGCTTGTGGCCTCCAGGACGGGAGCATTGCGTAATTTGCAAAGGATTATGGCCTCGGGGGCGCGAGCGTCACGTAGTTATTTTCACGTGTCCCACGACCCCCCTGGAATTCAGGGGACGCGATCTAGGCACGATGACAGGCTTGTTTGGGACTCCCCTTCTTTGCGCAGACTTCAACGATTTGCAGCAGGAAGCAGAAATCAGGATTGTAACAATGGAGACTTGAAGTTGCAACTGGCGCAGTGACTAGCAAACTTCGGCCTACAGCCGGGTGCCCCCACAAGGGGACCTGCGGATTTGCAGATCGCAAAAAAACGATTAAGAAGGCAACGCATAAACAGAAAACGCACATCGCAGAGGATGCAGACAAAGAACAAATGTGGTACACACGCACGGTTTTATCAACCTTACCCCCCTCAACCACCGTTTTCCCCGCTTGCCCTCCGCCTCCGCCTCCTTTATCCGCCCGCTCTCCTTTCCCACCACCCCTACTCCCCAATGCTCCCTGGAGGACGCAGTGCCACTGCCGTGCCACTGTCTCCTTCCCCCCTTTTGTCGGTCTCGTCGTCCTGGCCCGCGTCCTCGCCGCCGCTGCCCTCGACCTCGTTTGAACCTCGACATCGCGAAAAAGATCAACACCGTAGAAAAACGGGACCGGAGCCCCAGGCCTTGTTTCCCTATTCATTCGAGCCGCATCGATCTGTGACGATCCTGGGTCCCGGAACTGGGCGAAAACGCCCAGCGTGAAATCAATTCCTGGATGCAGGTTCGCCCTCGCACTCGCCAGCCTCGCCCCCGCCGGCCGCCGAGGCTCGCGCCGACAGAATGCTGGATCTGCCGCTGCGACACGGCAGAGCCGCTGGTGTGGCCGTGCGCCTGCCGCGGCTCCATGGGCGGGGCGCCGCGCCCCCCACGGGCCGCCGAGCGCCGCCGCGCGCCGCCGCCGCTGAGCGCCGCCGAGCGCCGCTGCCGCCGCCGCGCGCACCGCCGCCGCCACCAACCGCCGTGCTGTCGACGTCCTCGGCGCAGGTCCTGCCCGCGACGGCGCCGGCGGCGTCGCCGTTGCGGCCGTCGGGCGGCGGCGGCGTCGCCGTCGTCCACCGTCGCGGCAGTCACCGTCGCCGTCGCCGCCGGTGGCTTCGTCGCGGCCGTCGGCGACGGGGTCGTTTTTGGGCGGCCGGCGTTTGTAGGTGGCCCGCCCTGCCGTCGGAATTGGAAAGTATAACAATTCTCGAGAGTTCAACGTGAGTTCAAACATATCAGTTACACGCCGAATTCCCATTGGAGACCACTCTCCCAGGATTTGAGGAGCATCTCGCCGAATGAGGCGTAGCGGAGCATGCGGGCCTTGTGTCATGGCTTACCACTCAGGCGCCAGCTTCCCGCTGAAGTCGCGGTTGTTTTCGTCGGCCTAGTCGATGCCGCGGCCGCGGCCAGCCAGAATGACGCAGGAGCTGTCGGTCTCGTCCATGAGTTGGGCTCCGTAGGGCGTCCTCGCGCTGGGGCCTGATGGGGCCTCAAGCTGGAGCTGGGAGGCCCAGGGGGGCCCAGCTACAGTCGAGTTTGATTAGTACGGCGACCCTGCCAGATCAGGGGTACCCTTGTGGCCTGTGCTTCGCGACCCATGCCTTCTACATTTCTCTGGCAAGGTCGCCCTCGGAAGGGTCGGAGCGTTGGGCAGCGCACGGGTGGAGGATGGGCTGGCATTCCCTGGAATCCAGCCTGGTGGGGACGGCGGCGTGGGTGTGGCGGCGGGCGGATGGATGGCACCGGACCTTCGCCTGGCGCCGCGCTGAGCGTGGGCTCTGGGGCGCACGCGACGGTGCGAGGGGAGCAGACGAGACCAGAAAAGACCTCTCCAGTCAGACCAGACTGCAGGCCGGGCGCGACTTCTACACAGCGAGAGGGGAACTGGGTCCGCGGGGTCGCGGGCCAGAGGCCCGGCCCGAGAGGCCGCGGATGCGCGGGTGCGCGGATGTCTGCCGCCCACGGGGCTTCGTCGAGTCCGCGGCCATGCCCCCCGGGCCGCCGTGGTGCGCGGTCCCCCGCGGTCTTCGCTGCGGGCCGCTGGCGGCGGCGGCGCTGCTGGCGCTGCTGGCAGACGCCGCCTCCTCCTCCTCCTCCTCCTCCTCCTCCTCCTCCTCCTCCTCCTCCTCCCCCTCCTCCTCCTCCTCCCCTCCTCCTCCTCCTCCTCCTCCTCCTCCTCCTCCTCCTCCTCCTCCTCCTCCTCCTCCTCCTCCTCCTCCCCCTCCCCAACTTTTGAGGCAACCGTCATCCCCAGAGATCCAGCGTGTTGGAAAAGTCGAGGCCGGGGTTGTCCGCCAACTGCTTTCGGCTCTTACGGGCCCTCGCCGAGCCCTTGAACCGTTCATATCGATTCGGGATGAAAAGTTGGTCCCGAGGAGTGGTGCGAGACTTCTGGGGGCCCCGTATTGAAGAAGGCAAGACATCGGATCTCTGGGTCTTCTGCCGTCTCTCGGGGGAGGAAACCGTGCCCATATCGCTGCTTCTCCTGGAGGAGCCTCGTCGCCACGGTTGCATTCTCTCCGAAATCCTAGCTAGAACGCACCCCAGGGAGAAGTCTGGGGGAGTAGCGGCATCAGTAGTTCTATCACACTGAACCCTGATCTTGACGACCCCCCCCCTTCAGCGATGCAAAACCGCTTCTCGCCCCCTGGAAATGAGATCCCGCGTCTGGACCCTGGACCCCTCAGTTCGGGCGAAGAGAATTATGCACATGCACCGATCCTGGCAAGGCCCATCCTTGACCCAGGATCGGTGCATATGCCTTCCTGGCCAAGGCAGGAGGGCGTATGCACCGATCATGGGCTCAGGATGGGTCTGGCCAGATTCGGTGCATGTGCATAGTTCTCTTTCCTCTATCAGTGTGGGATCCCACCAAGATCCGAGTGGAATTCCAGCAAGACCCCACTAGGATTGCAATCTGCTTCCAGGACAGCAGGAGCCCCCGGGCAGGGATGTGGACTGCCGGCGGGGGCCGTCGCCTCCCGGAGAGGCCGTCCTGCTCGTCGTGCTCCCGCCGGCCCCGCCCCCGCGGAATCATTTCATCCGTCTGTGCAAGGGCTCCCTCGAGGGCGCGAAGTTATTCGCGCTTCGCGCTTCGCGGTCCTCGTTCCTTCTCCCCCTCCTCCTCGTCCTCCTATTCTCCCTTTGGGAGGGCGGCGCGAGAGCGCGAAGTTATTCGCGCTTCGCGCTTCGCGCAGCGCGAAGCGCGAAGTTGGGAGCCCTAGCTGTGGGTGTGAACGGTATCGTTCGGCGGTGCAGTCGGACCGAGGTAGAAGAGCCAGGTTTGGTTCGGAGAGGCTACCCTCGTGTTCTTCGTGGCTGTTGGATGCTCTTGTGCATCCTGTCAGAGCCCCGAATCATCAGGGGTAACTCGGGTCAGGGGTAACTCGGGTTCCTTTTTCGGGGAGTCCGAACCCGACTTACCCCGGACCCGAGCTACCCCGGATAACTCGGGCGTCCACAGCCCCGAATCATCAGGGGTAATTCGGGTCAGGGGTAACTCGGGTTCCTTTTTCGGGAGTCCGAACCCGACTTACCCCGGACCCGAGTTACCCCGGATAACTCGGGCGTCCACAGCCCCGAATCATCAGGGGTAACTCGGGTCAGGGGTAACTCGGGTTCCTTTTTCGGGAGTCCGAACCCGACTTACCCCGGACCCGAGTTACCCCGGATAACTCGGGCGTCCAGAGCCCCGAATCATCAGGGGTAACTCGGGTCAGGGGTAACTCGGGTTCCTTTTTCGGGAATCCAAACCCGAGTTACCCCGGACCCGAGTTACCCCGGATAATTCGGGCGACCAATCCTGGGGAGGGTACCCTTGGATGTTCTCTTTGTCCGGACCGACGGAGGGTCTCACGTTCTTGATGGATGTTCCTATGGCCTAGGTCCGAATGTACCCCTCCCGGAAGTAACTACTTTGAGCGCCACTGATAACGCCGAGGGGATCGATAACTTGGGTTCAAGGCTGCCCTCCAGTCTCGTCCGCCACCCTCGTTCTCCCCCGGGTCCTTCATTCTCCCCCTATATCCCTCTGCCCCCATCATCTTGGAGGAGCAGAAAGAGGGCAAGCAGGAGAGGGAGGAGGAAGAGGCAGGACGGGGTCAACGGGGAGGATATTGAGGACAGATGACGGGATAGAGATGCGGGAGGACCAAATATAAGCGGGGAATTGAGATTTGGGTGGAGGGGGAAGGGAGGAGGGAGGAGGGAGGAACATATGGGATGGAAAGGGGAGATGGAGAGGGGGAAGGGACAAGCTAATCAGGTGCGATCACGCCTCACCTGACATCCTATCCCTCCCTCCCTTCCCTTCCCATTGCGTTGATTTTTTCTCTAACCGCGGACGCGTGTCATAGCTGACCTGCAACTCCAACAAAAAGACCACATCGTCTCACGCGCAATCGGAAGAAGGGAGCTGCGTGCACAGGAGGAGGACGTGGCGGGTGAGCAGGCGGATGAGCGGGAGGAAAAGGTCGAGGACGAACAGCAGCATCAAGAATTGGAGTGGAAGGGCAGGACGGAACAGGAGGACCAGGGGAAGGCGGAGGAGGGGAAGCCGTGAATGGGGGCAACAACGATGAAGAAAGACTCGGAGTCCGAAAGGTGGCCCGCGCTAATTAGGGCCAGAGCGCCATTCTGAACGACGGGAGCAAACTGCCGATCCGAAAATGAGGCCCACGCTGCGGCGGGAACAATATTTTGGAGCACCGGAAACAATCGGATTGCAATCTCGTGGAGGTCCCCACCTGTGCATCTATTTGCATGGACCTGTTCCGCCGTGGGTGTCTAGGCGCAAGAGACTTCGGAAATAAGTTGGCTTGATCGTTAAAAGACTTGGGAGCGGTTCTAACTGTGAATGAGTTGTGGTGTGATTGAGCCTCAGTAGTGCAAGTGAGTCTAATGCTCATGAGTCTGCGTATGTCCAAGCGTTGGATGTGTATATGCACGTCGGTGGCCTGAGCATGGCCGAGCGCGACTGAGTCGAAATGGTTACGCGATGCCTCCCTCCCATGTGCGACACCATTGCACTTCGTTGGCCGGCCCAGAAGATCTCACGCAGTGGCTGGACCGTGATACAGCCAGCCACGCCACTGAGAGGAGAGATCACATCGATGGGAATGTGCGTAAAACGCACAAGACTGGAGCCACAGGCGAACAACATTTAGGCGTGGAGCCGCAGCAGAGGGGACATCTATAGGAACATACATAGAACAAGAGTTCGTGCCCCAGGAGAAGCTCACTCTATAAGAGCATCCACAACACACAGGACAGGAGCCACAGGAGGAACAACATGTAGGCACATACGCAAAACAAAGGATTCGCGCCCCAAGAGAGCCCAACCTATAGCAACCTCCCAGACAGTGCGAAAGTCAGCGCCTCGCCCGAGACATCCTCAAAATCTGCTCCGAAAGAAGAGGATGTTCGGCAGTCAAACATGCAAACCGCTCGAGGCATCACCACAATCTGGTCGCGAAAGGGGGACTGCAATACCCTCTGGCGGCCCCCTTTTGGGGGTGCCGAAGTCAGAACCTCGCCCGAGACATCCTCAGACTCTGCTTTGGGCGCGGACGAGCCCAGCCACCAACACAGGCAAACCGTTCGAGGCATGCGGCATCCTCGTAATTTGGGCCCCCTGGGATGCGAAAGCCAGCGCCTCGGCCGAGATATCTTCAAAATCTGCTCTGACAACAAAGGATGGTGGGGCGGTACAACGTATTCACTGCGTGGGGCTCCCCATCTGTGCAAATGTGTATATATATATATATACATATATATATATATATATATATATGCAGGGGCCTGTCCGCCGTGAATGTCTAGGCGTAATGCGTAAGTCTGAGTAAGGGAGTCTGAGTGAGAGTGAGTCTGAGTGTGGGTAAGTCTGGGTGGAATTGAGTATCAGTATGAGTATAACGAGTACGAGCCTGACTCTAAATGCATCTGAGTACGAGGGAGTCGGGCTACGATTGGATCTGAGGGTGGGTGGGTCTGAGTGTGCGTGATTCTGGGTGTGAGTAAGTCTGAGTAGATGTGCGTCTGAGTAGGAGTATGGTGAGTATGGAACTGAGTCTGAGTGGGTCTGAGAGTACGAGTGAGTCTGACTACGAGTGAGTCTGAGGGTGGATGGGTCTATATAAGTGTGAGTGATCATGAGTGTGCGCTCGTCTGGGTGTGAGTGAGTCTGAGTATGAGTATGATGAGTACGAGTCTGGGTATGAGTGAGTTTGAGAATCAGTGGGTTCGAGCAGAAGTGAGCTTGGGACATCCTCAAAATCTCTGCCCCTTGGGGTGCGAAAACGCCTCGCCCGAAACATCCTCAAAATCTTCTTTGAACGCGGACGAGTTTGGCCAGCAAAACAAGCAAACCGCTCGAGACATCCTCGCAATATGTGCCCCCGGGGGTGCGAAAACCAACGCCTCGCCCGGGGCATTCACAACATCTGTTCCGAACGCGAAGGATGTTGAGCACCAGAAACGGCAAACCGCTTGAGGCATCCCTGCAATCTGGGCGCGAACAGAGCAGTGCAATACACCTTGGCGTCCCCCCTCTGGGGCGAAAACCAGCGACTCGCCCGAGGAATCCTCAGAATCTGCTGCACAAGCGGAGGATGATGGGCACCAACACAGGCAAATCGTTGGAGACATCTCCGCAACCTGGGCGCGAACGGATGCCCCCTGGCGGCCCACTTTTGGCTGTGCTGAAACTAACGGTTCGCCCGAGACATGCTATCATCATCGTCACCAGCATACATAATAATAATGATCATCATCATCATCAGCATCATCATCATCATCATCATCATCATCATCAGTTTCCGTAGCCATTTTGGCTCAAGCCGACTGGTTCAATACTGCGTCTGGCTGAATTATTGAATCTGCCCCTCAGCTTCGGGACCCAGGCGCACGCCGAGGCCCCCCCCTGCGCAGACCAATGGCAGACGCCCGGCAGGCGGAGCTGACGGGCCTCGTCGAGGCGGCCACGGCCGCACCGTCCGCGCGAGGCCCCTGGCGCGGGCTGCAGCTCGGCGCCGCCACGCTGCTGCTCCTGGGCGTGCTGGCGGGCGCGGCACGCCTGGCGCTCACGGCCTCGGGCGCCGAGGCTCCGCGCCCCCGCGCCCCGCGCGACCTGCTAGAGCTGACCGCGAGCGAGGGGGACACGAGCGCCCTCCTGAGGCTGGACGGCACACAGCAGGCCGTGGTGAACAAGCTCATCGACCGGCAGGTCGCGCTGGCGCAGACGGGCTCGGCGACGTCGTCCCCCACCAGGTCGGACTTCGAGGAGCTCGGCGGGACGCTGCCGGTCGCGGCAGACAGGGCGCTCAAGAAGCTGGACTCCTCGACCAACAGGAAGCTCACGGGGCCCAGGGTGGGCTACAAGAGTCCCTTCCCCGAGGATGGAGAGGATTGCCACTACCCGACGGGGGCCGAGATCTCCTGCATCTCGGGGTACCACTGCTGCGACTCGCTGCAGATAGCAGGCGCGGCTCCGGCGAAGTTGTATTCCATCTGTTGCCCGAACGAGGGTGTGGCGAGTCAGTGCGTCGCGAAGATCTTCTTCGTCTCGTGCGAGGACCCAGGCCCGTACCAGAAGAAGTAGGACGTAGAGGATGAAAGTTTCATTGCCCAAAGACGGCAATGCTCCAGGAGATGCGAATATTTTTACGGCCGCGCCCAGGGCTCTTTTGTGATTGAGCCATTGGGGTGAAGCGCATTTCATTGTTTCGCCATTTATGTATTGCGGTAGCTCTGTCGGTCTTCGGGCTTTTGATCGTCGTCTGGATTAGCTTCCAGCGGCATGCTGTACAATGCTTTCCGGAGACTGGCGCGTGGCTCAGGTGCAGCACGCAGAGCCAAGCCCTCGAACAAAAAAAAAAGCATCATCATCATCAGTACCAGCGTCATCACCAGCATCATCATCAGCATCATCATCATCATCGTCATCGTCAGCATCAGTATCATCGTCATCATCATCATCATCATCATCATCATTATCATCAGCATCTTCATAGTCACATTCATCTTCATCTTCATATGTATCTTTCTGCATCACCATCATCATCTTCATCATCATGATCACCGTCACCATCATACTCATCATCATCATCATCCTCAGTTTCATCCTCATTATCATCCCCTTCCTCTTCCTAATCCTCATCCTTATCCTCATCCTTATCCTCCTCATCATCGTCATCATCAGCAGCATCAACATCAGCATCTTCATCACACTCATCTGCAGAATCAGCGCTATCGTCCCCATCATCATCATAATCATCATCATCATCATCGTCATCATCAGCAGCAGCATCATCAGCAGCATCATCATCCCGCTCGAGTTAATTACCATCATTAGCATCATCACCAGCATCACCATCAGCATCATCAGCGTCATCATCGTCATCACCAGCATCAGTATCATCGTCATCGTCGTCGTCGTCATCATCATCATCATCCGCATCATCGCCATCATCTTTCTTTAGTGAGAAAGAGGAGGAGGGAGGGAGGTGAGTCGGTGGGTGGGTCCTCGGGCCGGTCGGGAAAAACAATAATTGCATCTTTAGGATTCGGCTGAAGGTATCCCCACAATTTGCGCGCAAACGGGGGAGTGAGACATCCCTGGCGGCCACATTGGGGTTGCTGAATTTAGCGCTTCGCCCGAGACATCCTCAGAATCTGAAACGATGTAGATCAGATTGGTGATCATCATCATCATCATCATCATCATCATCATCATCATCATCATCATCATTGTCATCATCATCATCATCATCATCATCATCATCATCATCATCATCATGAGCCTCATCATCATCACCATTATCAACATCAAAAGTATCACCATCAACATCATCAGCATTACTAACATCAACATCAACATCATTATCACCACCACCATCATCATCATGATCACCGTCATCAGCACCACCATCATCAGCATCATCATCGTCGTCGTGCTCATCACCATCATCTTCATCGACACCATCACAATCTTTATATCATCAACATCATCATCATCATCGTCATCATCATCATCATTCTCATCACCGTCGTCATCATCATCATCACTAGCATCAGCATCACCATCATCAGCGTAAACATTGCCATCACCATGATCCTCCTCCTCCTCATCATCATCATCAGCGTCATCATCATATCGTAGCCAGAGTAGTGACCCTGAGTGTGATCCTGAGTGACCTTGAGTGGTGAGGAGGAGGAGGAGGAGCAGGATGAGGAAGAGGAGTTGGTGAGAGTTCTGGTGCGGCCGGAGTAATGACAATAACCACGTCCTTAGTATATGTGGATCAAGCGTGAGAAACACAATACATTGTTTGAAATCCTACGTGTGAAAGCAGCACGAGGAGAGTGCCGAAAATTGTCTGGACGGGGCCAGGGGGATAGAGGAGAGCAGTATCCAGATGTTTCAATTATCTTGCCAACTGTGTCTAGAGCTCAGACCACTTTATTTCGGCACGGCACCGGTCCCCCCTTCCGCCCTGGTTCATTTATTTCGGCACGGCACCAGTTCGCCCTCGGCTCCCCTCCGCAGCCAGCTTCTGTCCCACTCCCCCGCCAGCAAGCGCGCCCGCTCCGCCGGCGCCGCGCCCGCCCCTCTTCCCCACAGCCAGTACAGTCTATTCGCTCCCCCACCAGCCAACGCGCCCTCTCGGCCCAAGCTTTTGTTTCGGCACGGCACTGGCCTCCCTCTCCTCCCTCCTCCGCAGCCGTCACCGCGGCCTTTCCGCCCCGACCTGGTCCCTTTCTGTTCGGCACGGCATGGGTCCCCCTTCCGCCCCCTTGTGCAGCAATCAGCCCACCTGCACGGCATTGACGCCTAGCCCGCCCACCCCCCCATCTCCGCAGCCAACCCACCTCGTCTCCCCCACCAGCCAGCGCGCCTCATCCACCCTGACCCGTTTACGTCGGCATGGCATTGGCGTTGCGCGGCCAGCCCCCCTTTCCGCGGCCAGCCCATCTGCTATCCCCCGCCAGCCGGCGCGCGCCTCCGCCCCAACCCCTTCATTACAGCACAGCGTTGGCGCCGCGCACGCGTCCCTCCTCCCTCCGCAGCCAGCCCACCTCTGCCTCGCCCACCAGCAACCGCGCCCGCTCCGCCCCGAACATTAAATTTCGGCACGGCACTATCGCCGTGCCCTCCCGATCGACCGCCCCCTTTGCGCAGCCAGCTCACGTTTTCCTCCCCGACCAGCCAGCGCGCCCCCTCCGCCCCGACCTGTTTATTTCGGCACGGCACCAGCGCCGCCCACGTCCCCCCCTGTCCCACCAGCCAACGCGCCCTTTCCTCCCCGACCCGTTTGTTTCGGCACGGCACCAGCACCGCCCCCATCCCCCCCCTTGTCCCACCAGCCAACGCGCCCTTTCCGCCCCGACTTATAAACGTCGGCACGGCATTGATCCCTCCTCCACCCTCCTCCGCAGCCGGCCAACGCGCTCTCTCCGCCCCGCCCCCTTTCTTCGGCACGGTACCGGTCCCCCTTCTACTCCCATCCGCAGCAGCCAGCCCACTTCACCCTCACCTGCCAGCCAAAACACCCCAGCACGGCACTGGTGCCACCCCCGCCCGCCCCCCGCCCCCCCATCTTTCTCCCCCACCAGCCAGCGCGCCCTCTCCGCCCCGATCCTTTTATTAATCGCTTCGCTCATTCCGCCGGCCATGGAGCCCTCTTGAGGGCCTCTTGGGGCCTCTTTGGAACCTCTTGGGTGTCTCTTTGGGCTCCTTGGCGGCGTCGTGGGGGCCCCCAGGGCCTCTTGGGGGGCTTTTGGGGGCCTCTTGGGGCGGGAGAGGGGGGGTAGTCGATTGCGGCTCCCCCCTCGGAGGCCACGATCCTCGTGAGGGGTGTCGAAAAATGGCCCTCCCCTGGAGTGTTCTGGTGGCTTCTCCCGGGACCTTGCCGGGGTACTTTTCGTCCGGGGGCCCCCAGGGGCCGCTCCGCGCGCGCGAACTAGAACCATTGTCAACCAGTTGCCGGAGATCTTAGCACGTCTCTGGCCCGTTGGGCCGGCGAATTTCGGCAAAGCACCGGCGCCGCGCCCGACCACCTTTTCCCCTCTTCCGCGGCCAGTCCACCCCCTCCTCACCCGCCAACCAGCCAGCGCCCCCTCCGCCCCGACCCTTTTCATTTCGGCATGGCGCCGACGCCGCGCTCGCCTCCGCAGCCAGCCCACCCTTGCCTCGCCCACAAGCAACCGCGCAGCCCCGACCACTTTATTTCGGCACCACCCACCCACCCCTCCGCAGCCAGCGCGCCCCCTCCCCGACCCCTTCGTTTCGGCGCGGCACAGGCGCCGCGCCCGCCGCCATCCCTCCACAGCCAGCCCATTTGCTCCACCACCAGCTAGCGCGCCCTTCCGCCCCGGCCTTTATTTCGGCACGGCACCTGCGCCGCACCCGCCCCCCTCCTCTCTTCCACAGCCAGCCCACGACTTCCTTCCCAACCCGTCAGCACTCCCCTTCCGCCCCGACCAGTTTATATGTGCACGCCACCGGCGCCGCGCCTGTTCCCCCGACCTCCATTCCGCTGCAAACCCGCCGCCTCCCCCCCGTTAGCCAGCGCGCCCCTTCCGCCCAGACTCCTTGTTTCGGCGCCGTCGCCCCGCCCCCTTCCCCATCCCCGCAGCCAGTCGCCCTCCCCCCCCCGCAGCCAACCCAGCTCGTCGCGCCAGCCAGAGCGCCCGTTGCGCCCCCTCCTTTACATCTCCTCACGGCACCGGTACCGCGCCCCTTGCCCCCGCACTCGGCCAGATAAATTTGTCCTCGCCCACCAGCTGGCTCGCCCCCTCCGCCCGACCCTGTCGCGCCTTCCTTTGCGCGCCCACCGCCAGCCCAGCTCCGCGTTGCCCGCCAACCATCGCGTTTTTCCCGCCCCGATCTTGTCGTTTCGTCACGCCACCGGCGCCGCGCCCTTCTCCGCCCCCACAGCCAACAAAAGGTCCTCTTCGCCCACCATCCAGCGCGCCCCTTCGCCTCAACCGTGTCGTTTCGGCATAGCACCAGCGCTGCGCCCTCGCTCCCCCCCACAGCCAGCCCACTTCCTCCCCGCCCGCCAGCCAGCGCGCCCCGTGCGCCCCGACCCTTTTATTTCGGCACGGCACAGGCGCCGGCGCCCCCCGCCCCCCCACAGTCAGCGCGCCCCCCCCCATCCCCGACCCGTTGATTTCAGCACCGTCGGCCCTGCAGATCAGCCCCTTGGTTTCTGCCGTGGCCCCTGGGGTTGTCTCGGCCGCTCGTCCCGAACCATCGTCCTGCCCGCCATGCAGACCCCTGTTTCGCCGTTCCCTCCCATACTACCCCTCCTCATCTACTTACTCCACTCCCCGTTCCCGACGCTCCCCTTGCCTTTTCGTCCTCCTCAATCCTCGTCCTCCCTCCCCCATTCTCTCTCTCCTCCTCCCCCGTCTCCCGTGTCTACCTTTCTTTCCGTCGCGATACGCTTCCCTGTCTGTGAGCCCCTCATTGCTATCCCCCTCTTATTCATTTGCCTTTTCTCGTCATCCTCTAGGCGCAAGAGCAACGGCGCGCGTGCCACTTGTTGTTGAGTGAGGGAGGGAAGGGGGAGGACGGAAAGGAGGAGCAGAAGAGAAAGGAGGAGGATGAAGAGGGTGGGAACGAGAAAGGAAACATAACAACATGAGGACAAGGATCAGCACCAGTGGCACCAGCGGCAACTGCACCCTTCGCGGCGCCCGCCAGCAGGTGCATCCTTCTTGTGTGGAACACTGGCTGCACTGCCAGAGGCCGCGCCGCCACCCTCGCCCCGGGCGCTTGCTGCGCCGCCGCCGTCGTCGTCGTATGCCGTCGTTGCTTTCGTCCTCGCCGTCGCCGTCTTCGCAAAGCTTCTAGATGCGCTCAAAGGAAGGGATGAGGAACAGGAGGAGGAGGAGGAGGAGGAGGAGGAGGAGGACCAGTGTAAGCCCAAGGTACATCTGCGATGCTGCAAATCACAGTCCTACCGTGTAAGGTCCCTGTCCAGCAGTCTCTACGGCCTGTCCTCTTCATTGGAAGAGGCGCCCCCTGACAGACTACTCCAGATTTCGTAATAAAAGGGAGGGGGTCTCAACCCTCCCAGACGAGAAGTTTTAGACCCCCCCCGGGGGCCGTGGGAGAATCCTCCAAAACATCGTCCCCAGACCCCCCCAGGCCCTCCAAGATAGCCTGGAAGAGACCCCCCCGAAATGAGACCCCCCTCCCTTTATTACGAAATCTGGAGTAGCCACCTGCGGGCCTGCCATTCGTGCGAGAGCCCTGCTTCTGCACTGGACCGTGCCTGCCCTCAGCCGGGGAGAGCGGGAAGGCACGGCCATGCAGTTCCACGGCAGTGCAGCCAGATCCCCGCTTTGAGAAAGGGCCGCCCCCCCGCGCGCAACTGTTGCAACGGTTTGCGCACAGTGTCGTGCACTTCGAGGAGGTCTCAAGCGGGAGCCCCGTTGTGAAAAGGGACCGTCATCCACCAGTGCAGCTGCAACATGTGTTGAAGCGTATGGTCGTGTTTCTTTGAGGACGTCTCAAGCGATGACCCCGCACTGGAAAGGAGCCGTCCTCTGTCCTTGTAAGGTGTCCGATAAATGTTAAGACAAATGTGAGCGGCGCTTGAACGAGAGCCGCATTCTGAAAAGAAACGGCCCTCCATCCTTGCAAGAAAGTGCAGAACACGTTTCAGAAGATTTTGCGCGGCGTTCAGGCAAGAAGGTGATTTCAGTTCCATCTTTAATGAAGGCGCAAACGTGTAAGACGAATGTGCGCGGCACCAAAGCGAGATCCCAATTTGAACATCACCGGTGCTCACCAGGCAACTGCCGCAAGCGTTGAAGACGAAAGTGTGCGGCGCGAAGGCTCTATTATGAAAACCGCTTGTGCTTATCCCAGCAACTGCTGAATGGCTTATGACGAATGTGCCTCGCGCCGAGGCGAGATCTCAATTTTGAAAACGGCGTGTGCCCCATCCGTGTAATAGTTGCGACTTTCAAGCTTCAGCATCATAAGTGGTAAGTCCCAGACGAAACGCCTGCCCGCCCTACCAACACGTCTGTGGGCGCGACAAAGAGGTGCTAATTATCTTTGAAGGGACCCGGAGGAGGAGGAGGCAAGGTGATGGATGAAGGGTCAAGAGCATGAGGAGGAGGAGGAGGAGGAGGAGGAGGAGGAGGGGGCGGAGGAGGAGGCGGAGTGGAGAGGGGGGAGGACGCGGAGCGGAGGAGGGAGGAGGGAGAGGGACGAGGTGGATGTCAATCCAGGCGCGCTCGCGCCATATCTGACATCCTACCCGTCCCGCCCGTCCCTTCCCAATGAGCTGCTTGCTCTCCGTCCGCCGACGGGTGCCATAGCTAAGGGCTCCCTCGAGGGCGCGAAGTTATTCGCGCTTCGCGGTCCTCGTTCCTTCTCCTCCTCCTCCTCGTCCTCCTATTCTCCCTTTGGGAGGGCGGCGCGAGAGCGCGAAGTTATTCGCGCTTCGCGCTTCGCGGAGCGCGAAGCGCGAAGCTGGGAGCCCTTGCATAGCGGACTTCGAACCCCCACACCGACCCCATTGGCGTCATGCACACTTGCAAGAGGGCTGCGTGCGTTGAAGGAGTATGTGGCGGCTGAGCAGGAGGATGAGCAGGCGGAATCGGAGAAGGATGAGGAAGGGAGAGGACGAGCAGGAACAGCAGCAGCAGCAGGAGTGGGAGGAGCGGGAGGAGCAGGACGACCAGGGAGAGGCGGGGGAGGGGGAGAGGAGCAGCACGGCCTCGAGACGGGGGCACTCGGGTCCAGAAGCGCGGCCCGCGCTGGGGCGAGAGGGCCATCCTGGACGGCAGGAGCACAGCGCCGACCTCCCTTCGACACTGTAAGAACGGTTTTTTGAAGGCAGATCTGCCTTCAAAAAGAACGGTTTTTTGAAGGCAGATCTGCCTTCAAAAAACCGTTCTTACAGGGATGCCGCGGGAACACCATTCCGAGACACGGAGAGCCCTTTTTCCGATGGACAGCTGCCACGGGCACTGCCCGGAGGGGGGCGGGCCCCCCCCGGCCATCTTCGGGGCAGGGAGGCGGGTATTCGTGTGGAGCCGTTGCGGACGGGGATGGAGTGGGAGGGGGAGCAGGCGCGCTTGTGGGGAAGGATGGGGAGGGAGGGAGGAAGGGGGAGGAGGAGAAGGAGGAGGAGGAGGAGGAAGAGAAGGAGGAGGAGGAGGAGGAGGAGGAGGAGGAGGAGGAGGAGGAGGAGGGAGGAGCGGGGAGGAGCAGGGAAGATGGGGGAGGTGGAAGAGTACGAGGAGGTGGCGAGGGGGAGTGGGAGGAAAATGAGGAGGAGCATGACGACGACGACGACGACGATTTCTCCCGTCGTGATTGCTTCATGACTCCAGACGGTCCTGGTCCAGGGGTCAAAACCGACCCCCGGACGCATCCCATGGTGCTTTCTGGCCAGAGCGTCGAGCCAGATCCAGCCGCGGCGACGAGAAGCCTCCAGGGGGGGGCTGCCAACGCCCAAAGACCTCGATTTTCCAACCTCGAGCCTCGAGTTTGTCCACGACGCGACGGGTTCTCTGGACGGCGGCGGCGTCGACGCCACCGGCTGCCTGCGGGCGCTCGACGACGCCGCCGGCGACGTCGACGTCGATGGTGCCCCCGACGGCGGCCGCAGCCCCGGCGGCGACGGCGGCGGCGACCGCGGCTGCAGGCTTCGACCGCGACTGCGACCACGGCGGCGCCGCCCGCAGGCGGCGGCGACCGCGGCGGCCGCAACCGCGGGCGGCCGCGACCGCGGCGGCCACGACCCCGCCGACGGCGACGTCGACGTCGACGCCGCCGCCGCCGGAGGGCGGCGCCGACGCCGCCGGCCTGCGGCGGCGGCGGTCGGCGGCGCCCGCGCCCGCGGCCCGTGGAGGCGCGCCGGCCGGGGGGGCGCGGAGAGGCCCCGCTGCCTGGTGTGCGGCGCGCGGTATGCGGCCCGCCGACGCGCCGCGGCGCGGCCGCCGCCCCCCTCCGCAGGGCTCGTTCCGGCTGCTCCTCGGGCTCGATGCGATTCGATGCCGATCGATGCCGATTCCGATCTGGCTTCGGATTCCGATCTGGGTCTCGGTTTCTCACTGGAGGCCTCACCTGCCTGCCGATTTTTGAAGCAGCGGCGAAGCGTCCTCTGGCTCGCCTATAGTTCCCCCCAAACAAAGTTCTGAGAGCCTCTCTGTGGTTTCCCACGAAATGCTCTTAGAACATTTCTGGCGGAGTATGTCTGTTTTTATCGCATCGGGCGTATGTTCTAAGAACATTGTTTTTGTTATTAGAACATTGTTAGGTTCTAAGAACAGTTCGTGGTAGGACCATAGGAATGCCGTGTCGGTCGGTCCCTGCTCAACGATTTCCGCCGGTTCGATTTCCTCCAGCTTGTCTGCCGACAATTTCCGCCGATCCGATGTGGTTCGATCGCGGCGATCCGATTTGTCGATTCGATTCTGGGCTCTCCTGGCCAGGGCAAGGCTCCGCATGCCCTGGAGGGGAAGAAGCACACAGACACAATTAGTTGTCGACTCCCAGGAAAATATGCGAAGTGAGGGGAAGACGGAAGCCCAGAATTTGTTGGGGAACTATGGAGAATCTTATCAGTAAGGGCTTCGCCCTATGCCGCCGGCCCCCTGTCTCGGATATGATGGGAGATGCAAAAGCTAAATTATGAGGTCTGGGCGCCGCCGTGAAGCAGTGTCGGGACCTGTTTGTTTTTCGACCCTGACCCTACGGATCTGCGTGAGGGGTGCCACCGAATTTCAGAAATGTGGCAAATCCCATGTGTTTTTGGACCCTGACCTTACGGATCTGCGTGAGGGGTGCCGCCGAATTTCAGAGATGAGGCAAATCCCTTGTGTTTTTTGACCCTGACCCTGTCGATCCGCGTGAGGGGTGCCACCGAATTTCAGAAATGCCATGAGTTTTCGGACCCTGACCCCGCTGATCTGGGTGAGGGGTGCCATAGAATTTTACAAATTTGGCAAACCCCATGGGTGTTTGGACCCTGACCCCGCCGATCTGCATGAAGGGTGCCACTGGATTTCAGACATGTAGCAAATCCTTTGTTTTTTGACCCTGACCCCGCCGGTCTGCGTGAGGATGCCAGAACTGTCGCAAATCCCATGTGCTTTTGGACCCTGACCCCGCCGATCTGCATGAGGGGTGCCACCGGATGTCAGAAATGTGGTAAATCCTTTGTGTTTTTTGACCCTGACCCCGCCGATGTGCGTGAGGGGTGCCAGCAAATTTCAAACATGTTGCAAATCCCATGTGTTTTTGGACACTGACCCCGCCGATCTGCGTGAGGGGTGCCACCGAATTTCATAAACATGTGGCAAATCCCATGTGTTTTTGGACCCTGACCCCGCCGGTCTGCGTGAGGGGTGTGAATTTTTACCCACCCCAGCAATTCGGAGCACACGCTCAGGGAGTGCTAAACCTTCCCGTTTGGGCCTCCCCCCCTTCGCGCTGTCCATCAGCAAGGAACAGTAAGCAGCAAGAAGCAGAACTGTAACACTGGTACAGAAAACTGCGAACCTTCGCCCTACAGCCTGGTGGCCCCGCAAGGGGGGCCGGCGGATTCCATCGCTTCGCTCATTCCGCCAGCCCATATTGTAGCATCGTTGGTGCGTGCTTGGGGGGGCATTTGGGGGGCCGCCTGGGACCGCTTGGGGCCTCCTGAGGGCCTCGTGGGGGAATCTTAGGGCCTTTTGGGGAGCCTCTGGCCGTCCTCGTCGCCGCCCCCGGCCCTCGCCGTCGCCGTGGTCGTGCGGCGCCCGCGGTGGCCCGCGAGCAGAGCCCCTCCACCCCCACGCGGCACACGTCTTCGTCCTCGTCCTCCTCGTCCTCGTCCTCCTCGTCCTCGTCGTCCTCGTCCTCGTCGTTCTCGCCGTCGTCTTCACGACGGTGCACGTTTTCCACATCACCTTCTACCAACGTGGGGGGGTCCGAACGGTCTTGCACCATCCCTGGGTCCCCAGACGCCTTCGCGTCGCGGAAAAAAGACGACGGGAGGATTTTTGCTAATTTGTGCGCCTGGGGGCCCCTGCCGGGCCTCGGGAGCGTCAACAAAAACAAGTCAGGATGAGAAACCGATCCCAGGGAATTGGTCGAGACCTCTGGGGTCGACGTTGTGAAAGAATCCTGACGTCGGGGGTCTGGGTGCCTGTGTGCGTGGGTCCCTGTGCGCGAGATTCCGTGGCCCGGATTCTGCTGGCTTCTTGTCTGTTCTTGTCGTCGTTGCCCTGCGTCCCACCCCCCAAACCCACCCCGCGCCCGCTCCCATCATTTTTGTCCGCATTTGTTGCTGCGTATCCATCCCCACAAGGTCCAGGAGGATGAGAAGGAGAAGGAGGAGGAGGAGGAGGAGGAGGAGGGGAAGGAGGATCGAGGATGAGCAGGATCGACGAGGCGGAGGAGGAGGAGGAGGAGGAAGAGTGGCGCAGGAACAGCAGCCTCCCAGGCGGTAGCTGCGGACACATCCCACGGCCTCGGACGAGAGGAGGGCCACAGGAGGCCTCCGAGGTGGCCGGCGCCGCGCGCGGCATCGCTCGGACGTGTGCCTATCAAAGCGGATTTTTTTTTGCGGCAATGGGGCACGCACGGAGCCGAGCAATGGCACGGGGAACGGGCGTTCGAGCAGGGCCAAGCGCACGTGTGCTCGCACAGCAGCCACGCGCAGAGGAGGACAGGGGGAAGGCTTCTGTCGAGCAGTGGCGAAACGTCCTGGCGTCCCCATAGCCCAGAGGCCTACAGGGACGCCAGGACGTTTGGTGGCCTGTAGGCTGTAGGCCACCAAACAATGTTCTAAGAACCTGCTGTGGTTTGCACGACACGTCCTTAGAACATTTCTGGCTGCGAGTGTCTTGTTTTAACACATCAGGTGTATGTGCTAAGAGCATTGATGTTGTTCTTAGAACATGTAGGAGTTCTAAGAATCTGTCGTGGTAGGCCTATAGGAATGCTGGGACGGACGGTCCCTGCTCTATTCTTGGAAGCACCCCTGCTTTTTGGAAGGCGCGGGCCTTCCAGAAGTAAGGCCGACGCCGTCTAAAAAGCAGCCTCCCAAGAAGCCTTCCCCCCTCCCCCTACCCCCCTTGTGCACGCCGCCAGCCGAGGGCTTCCAGGGGCCCCCAGAGGCCTCCGAGGCTCGAGAAAGGGCCCGGCCCGCCCTCGAATCTCGATCCTGCCCCAGACATGCGTCGTCTTGATTCTCTCAGGGTCCCGGAAGTCCCTACCTGCCCGTGCGCGCCGCCAAGGGGGCCCCCAAGCGGGGTGGTGACCACACGGTGTGGTGAGTCGGTGGGGAGCCGGGGTCACCGCACGGTTTTGGGACTCGGGTCGTTCTCCCAGGACGCCTCGGGCGATTGGGCATCCGAGGCCCCAAGACCGTGCGTTGACGCACCGTGCGGTGAGGTCTTGGGGGATGTCGATGTCACCGCACCGTCTGTCACCGCACCGCTTCGGGACTCCGAGGCTCTTTTGCCGCAGGGTGCTCCGCACTGGCCTCGGGCCCGCGGGGGGGCCACGGCGGACTCCGGGCGAGAGGTGCGCCCAGGCCTGCTGGCTTTCGCGAGGCCGCGCTTGGCGGGCCTGGCCTCCGCCGCCGCCGCTGCAGGTCGACGCCGCTGGCGCCGGCGGCCTCAGATCTGGAGCGAAAGAAGAGCATACCCGTGATGGAGGGTTCCTCCGAAGGGCTTAGGCGACCCCTCCTCCTCCTGTTCCTCCTGCTCCTGTTCCTCCTGCTCCTCCTCCTCCTCCTCCTCCTCCTCCTCCTCCGCCTCCTCCTCCCCCTCCTCGCCATCCCCTCCTCGGGTCGCCTACGGCCCCGGCGGAAACCGTCCAACCCGTTATACGTACATGAATCCACGATCGTTTCGAAAGTACGCATTGCGCGAGCGTTCGTATCACGAGGCTGGTCTCGCGGACGGGGGGTCCGAATTCGCGTGCGCGGTTGGTCGCGTGCGTCCTTTGTGGGCTCCCTATTGCTGGAAGTGCCCGCGGCCCGAGGTGCCTCCAGGGTTCTGGGGGTGGCCTAGGCGGCCTCGCGGCCTCTGGAGCACCCCTCACGAGGCCCAGAGGGCCCCGGGGGCTCCAACGTGGAGCGAAAGGCTGGGGGCACTTCGGGCCAGGGGCACTTCTAGCAGCACCCAGCAGGTCGACGCCGCCGGCGCCGGCGCACTCAGATCCTGGCGTTGCAATTTGTTCCACGCCGGGGCGTTTTCGCTGGGATTCCCCCTGGACCCTCACAGATCGACCCCTGATGGGCCTGTTTTCCACCGCCACCACCATAAGTTGGAGGGGGAGGGCGTCCTCCTCCACCTCCTCCTACTCCACCTCTTCCTCCACCTCCTCCTCCACCTCCTCCTCCTCCTCCTCCTCCTCCTCTTCGTCCTCCTCCTCCTCCTCGTTCTCCTCCTTCCCCCCTCCAACTTATGGTGGTGGTGGTGGAAAACAAGCCCACCAACCCCGATTGAAAAATGGCGCAGGCAGATGATGCGTTCGGAGTTGCAGTTGTCTCAGCTCGCTGGCGTCGCTCGCCGTCAGCGTAGAGGCTGCTGTCGTCTTTGGAGCTGTCGGGGTTGTTGGCGGCGTCGCCGTCGGCGTTTCTGTCGTCGTCGTCGACACCGTCGTCGGCGCCCTTGTGGTCACTGGTGGGGAAGAGGAGGAGAGGCAGCCCGAGGATGAGACCCCGATTAGACTTTGACGTAGCAGCTACAGATCAAGTCAGCAGGCTGTGCGTAACACAAAATGGACGCTCGTGTCCGCTAATGGGATGCGCGCCTCAGGCAGTCGCGCACGAAGGAGGAGAAGAAGCAGGAAGAGGAGGAGGAGGACGAGGAGGATGTTGTCGGCGTTGGCGTCAAGAATGCAGCAGGCTAGCTTGCTCGGCCAAGTGATGACACTCGTTCTCCCTCATCCACCTCGTCCAGCTCCGCCTCCATTCTCCCGATGTTTTTGGACAGTGTTGGCCCTCCTTGGGCCTCCCGATGCCTCGTGATGCCTCTGGAGATGCGGACCTTTGGGGAGTAATTCAGACGATGAGGATCACGATGTTCATTGGCGATGACGGCAATGATGTGTTGA